ATTGGAGTTCATCAAATTAGGTGGTTACAAAATAGCTTTGAACACATTTTGATTGCCTCAATTCATTAATTTTTTTCTGAGTAAAAATAATGTGAACCCAGCCACATTTTTCACCTGTAGACGTTTTTGGGTGGTGTCTGTAATGAACAAAAAAGGAACACACTGTGTGTGTGTTATCTTATTGACTAAAATGTTACTTCACTCAAAAAGTTTCATAAAAATTACTCTTGGGATGTCTCTACTGAAATGATACTCTTTACAATGTGACGGCCCAAGTGGGCCCTCTTATGTTGACTGCTCACTGCTCTGTTTGTGCACAACTACATCTTTCATTATGTTAAACGAGAAATCTTAGACTCAAAATGTAATTTCCCACTTATACTGTACCACTAGATATACCTCATTTACTCTTTCTAAAGCATGAACATGAAATGTTTATGGGCTAAAAACACAACACTTTGTTTTGCAAAATAAAGTATATTTAGAGGTAACAAACCATGAGGCAATATTTTCATGCTCAATTCATTCAACGTGGTACAAGCAAACCATTTTTATTTTACATGTTTTTTCATTCTATCTTTCTCAACGTAAACAATATTTACATAATGTGGCTCTAATTCCATTCCATAAACTGGACTCAAGAGGTTTTTCAAGCACATCTAAAGAAGTTCAAATTCTAAAACCGTACACTTGGTTTTCCATTGGTGGCGCCTCATGTGTGATAAAAAGCCTTCATGTGAATGTACGAGGCTTGTACATCTGCCACCTTTTTATCAGATCCACAAAGGAACAGATTAGTGCTTCCGGATACAGCCACGAATTGTGCATGCACTACAGCAGTATTTAGAGGATAACATTTGCATGTAAGAAAAATATTACTCCATGTTCTGCTTAAAAGACGGCAGTGAGTTTTATGCAGGGAAAACTCACATTAATTGGGTTAGGGTTGTAAATATCTTTTCTTGTGGACAGTTGGACAGCAACAAAATGTTTACATGTTACTGGCCCTGTTTCATCATAGATAACATCTCTTTTGTTGGATTTTTGGGTAAACAAACAGAAATTCTTGAGAGTTAGCTGTAGGAGTGAGGTTTTGTTTGATGTATGGGTTCCTCCTGGTTTGTTCTAATGTTTAAGTGTCCTGGTGTGTCATGTATCAGCCTCATCACAAAGTTGCTTCTGACTGTCCTAGGCTGCTAACGGCTTGTTGTCTCCACAGGGGTCCAGCCCACGTCTCTCCACACACAAGAAAAGTTCATATTTCAAGGACTCAGACTCGCTGTAAACATTTGCACAGAAAAGCGATGCTGTACAACTACAGACTGCCGATTATAGCATCAGGAAGAGTGTTCTGAAAAAATTATTTATTTTTATTATTAGTTATTATTATTATTACTTATTTCAAATGAGTCTAAACATTATTTGACTTTAAACTGGAGTTCCTGATTTTTTTGGTTTCTTAAATAATCAATCAGGTTTTTCCCTTCTGAAAGAGTCAATAACCTGCTGTCTTTAGAACACCTTCTGTATTCTTAGAGAGAGCCCTGTGAGTCCCTATTTGACACTTTGGGCTAAGAGCTGATTGGCTGAGTGAGGATGATATTTTAGTCTGAAAAACGTTTAATCGATGGCTGTGAGTTCATTTTTTTACAGTTTGAAAGTTAGGTACCACAGCTACAAAAGGGCATGTTACGGCGATAGACTATACCATCCCATTGCCTCTTTATTTGCATTTTAATAATGTTCTTTTAGTATTTTAAAGATGTGGTGATTTACTCGTACCTCAGTTTGCGCACATGCCTGACAATCTTTTGTCAAATGTTACCCATTTGCAAAGCGAGAGGACATTAGAACAATGAGCCTATACGATCATTTTGGATTGCTTCAAAATATTGTGTCTATCATGGGTGTCGTAGCACTGAAAGGGGAGAAGTACGCCTTTGTGAGAAATGTTTGCTTAGCACGCTGAATATTTACTTTAAATGAGGCGGTGTGTTGCCTGACAGCTGTGTGAGCATATTGGAAGACATTTAACCTTCGTAACAGTCGGCAGCATGAGCATTTGACAAGCCGAGAGGAACAACAACACAAAATAAAAGGAGGGCAGTGCTGGCGTGTGCATGAGCAATAGGTCTCCAAGCGCACTTGGGCTTGTGTGTCTCCGTGTGAGAGAGCAGATGTGATTGGCGTGTCCTCTACGCTTGATTGATTTAAAAATATAGACAAGGTGTCGCATGTATGAAAGCTACCAATTTACAAGCCTTCATCTCGCAACTTCAGAGAGATGCTGGCGCCATCAGAATCAGAGCCCAAGTTTGTGTAGTGACCAATGGTTCAGAAGTAGAAACCGCAAAGTGACACCCCGCTTAAGGCTTCTAGCACATGAAGCAGCTTACTTTTGTGCTTTTACCTGGCTCTTTGTCTGTTTGTCAGCATGGTCTAGACTATCCTTGATGCCTCTTTCTTCTCTAAGCCGCAGTGAGGAGCTTTAGAAGTTTACTTGTCCCAGTGCTCAATGTCAAAAGCAATGACCTTGATGCGGCTGACACACTGTCTGCTCTTCTCTTTCAGGCTCAGATTCTTTGCATATTGCCCTGTCTGTGTTTCTGTAATCACTGAATTGTAAAACCATGTGTGAACACATTATCATGTGGGGGAAGCTTCTGCATTTTTCCCTTCGGTCCCACGCAGTGATAATTCTGTTTGGGAACGACAGCACTGTACCACGTCTAGAGATGAGCAGGGGAGAGAGGCATTGGGAGGTACTATTTAGATAAAACAAATTGCCAGCTGCCGAGCTGGAGCAGCCACAGCACAGATAAAAACCAATGGGAATATGTGCATTATTTTGCATGTGCTGGGGATAGGGTGAATGTTAATTCCTGAGTGCTTCTGTGCAACTCCAGGTTTAGCCTCTAAACTTCTCTCACATGCCTTTAACCATAAGGTTGTGATGGAACATGCGGGTAGTAATTAAAATCAATAGCCAGAACTTTTTCAGTCTGCGGCAAGGTCAGCACCAGAAAACCAAAGGGAGGGAGAAGAGGGGAGGCCTGGGATTGCATGGATGGAGAGAGCCAAGTACAGATATGTAAAAAGGTGAGGTGTCATCTTATTTTAATTACCCCACACCTCAGAGGCCTGGCACCAGCCCTGCACTAAGTGTGTGGGTGGCTTTATGTCCCACTGTCATTGGAAATCTACTGTGTCCTCTGTGGGTCATTTTGAATCAGATTAAGCACATCTTCTTGTCTTGGTAATGTTAAAATACTTTGACAGATGTAAATAGGCTGAAGCTTTAATCTAAAGAGAAATTAGCTTGACCACATTCAGTTGACCATCCATAGTATATCAAAACATATTTGTTTAGTATTTGTTATAGTAATAGTGTATAACGGCTTCATTCATTCATTCATTATACAGTTATTGTTGGAGCATTTTCAAAGAGTTTATAGTAGTATTCAGATGCAGGGCTATAGCAGGAGACGGTGCATTAGGAGTCTGTGCAAACACATACAAGTCCTATGTTTCCAGGGTGACTCAGAAGGAGAGGTTCATTCCATCAGACTAACAGCAGAGCAGAGTCCCCTGTTTGTTGATTATCTAGTCCCATTCCTATCAGAGCACCGATACAATCTTCATCTGATCTTTCGCCGGGGATGCAGGCTCACTAGCCACTGTTGCCTACGCACGACAGTTGCCCACAGAGTCCGCCACACCTTCCCGTATACCCTTATCAGAGCCAGATCTGCCATTGCTGTGCTTTCTCATCTCTGTCTTATCTCCTTATTCCACCTTTCTCCGGACTCCCAGCGCCTCAAACACACCAATCACTCATCATCGGCAGCCACCTTTTATCCGGCTCTGTGCATGTGCCAAAGATGCCATGGCAGGGCTCTTGTTCCCAGAGCCTGGTCTTCTCCTGATTAACTGTCAGAGCCAACGCACTGACTGACAAGAAAAGGATGAGTTTGAAGAAACAGGAAAACAGGGCAGAATCAACTTCTTATCTGTGTTGGTCAGCTTTTAAAGGAGTCACATTATGTAAAATTGACTTTTTAAGCTTTAGATCATGCTACAACATTGTTCCATCATCAAAAGCAGACCTGATGGAACATGTATCTCTGCCCCTTCTGTCTATAAAGTTCCTGTTTCAGCCCTGTAAAAGTATGTCATTTAATCGCTATCACAGCAGTTTTTTGCCGCCTGTGGATTAGTTTTGGTAATTGCAATGATGTTCTTTACCTCATGGTAGTGGTTGCAGCTTTGTCCAAATTTTCAACACCTCTGACTGGTGGTAGCATAGGCAGGCCAATAGCATTGTTTACCCTTGATACTTCTTCCACCATACTGTATGTATTGTGCTGAAGATATTGTTTTGCATTCTGAAACAAGAAATTACAAAATAGTCTCATAATCATTTCTAATGTAAAATAAAACATGTGTGATCATTGTTTTTACTCGTCGTCTTTCAAAAAATTTGCAAATATTCAAGTTACTTTTGCAAGCAGTCTGGGCTCGAGAGGAATATTTACTACAGTGCCTGGAGTGAGTTTGCTGCACTGAAAGTAAAGGGGCCGAATAATATTGCACGCCCCACTTTTCAGTTTTTTATTTGTTAAAAAAGTTTAAATTATTCAACAAATTTCATTCCACTTCACGATTGTGTCCCACTTGTTGTTGATTCATGACAAAAAATTTAAATTTTATATCTTTATGTTTGAAGCCTGAAATATGGCGAAATGTTGAAAGGTTCAAGGGGGCCCGAATACTTTCGCAAGGCACTGTATGTTGCCATGACTGTGTACTGTATGTAGCAACAGCATCAGGATATGGACAGAATAATAGCAGATAAAGTGACAAATGAATTGCTAGTGGACACATTGTAAAATGTAATTTCACATTATAATACTAGGTGAATGGCACATAGTCAGCAGTTTTTGTTGTTATGTTGGTGGAAAATGTACTCATATTTATACACTTCTTATCTGTTGTTCCAGGCAGCGGCTTCCTCCCAAAAATGTCTATTACTACCGCTGCCCCGACCACCGCCGCAACTATGTGATGTCCTTTGCCTTTTGCTTCGACCGTGAGGATGATGTTTACCAGTTCGCCTACTGCTACCCCTACACGTACTCCCGACTGCAGCACTATCTGGGCAGTCTGGAGCGGAGGAACCTGCCCTACCTGAAGAGGGAGCAGCTGGGCCTCAGTGTGGTGAGTGGAGGACAGTGCCTGTATTTTATGGTAGTGTTTTGTGTTGAATGAGTGAGAGGGGATTGGGATTAGCGTTTTATTTCACCCTATTCCTTTTGTGGTGTATCTCTGTGTTTGTGTTTATTCTTTTTTCGGCTAAACTAAAGAAAAATATGTTTTACCTTGAAAAATAACAAACATGTCATTTAGGTCAGCTGCTGGTACATTTTATTAGATTTATGTGATGTGATAGCCCTTGAGTTTTTTCAGAAAATTTATTGGAAACAGACAACAACTAGAGCTCACACTTTACAAGAGGTAGAGGACTAAAAACTATGACATTAAATGCAATGGCTTTAAATGTAGGGGAACATTTAAAGCCAGGTCGCTGTATAGAAGGTGTCTTGGATTCAGGAGCACAAGACGCAATTCTGCTGTACATCAGTGCTAATTGCTAATTTATTTTCAATTTTATTTTTGGCTTGTGTTCTGAATAAGTTGACAAAAGGTCACGTGCTACACATTGGCCTGTTCGGTGTGAGGAGCTAGGTGTGCCTGCCGGTGATGACTTGAGCCTCTCATGTTCTTTATAGAAGTGTAGCACCCTGAGATGACGGACTGTAAGCTCCGGGCTGTGTGAGTGCTAATGCTATGTGTGTAATCAGCACAGCTCTCACCTCGGCAGTAGGAGCTAGTGTATCATGTACGCTGCCTCCAGTCCTGTCTGCTCTTATCAAATAATTGTCGGAGAAAAACTCATTAGAAATGCTTGAGAGATTACGACTTTTTCTTCTGTCCCCCAACATCCGTCAGGGAAAGCATGCAGCACGCAGCATGCACCATGAAACTAGCGGTATTTATGAAAGGCAACTGATGAGAAAATACACGAGTCTGAAAAGTAGAGAGCATGAAAAACTCTTGTCAATTTAAATATCAATGTCAGCTTTATTTGACATTGATAGAGGACCCCCACGAAAACGAGATGATGCATCTCATGGGGTTATTCCTCTTTAAATAAATGCCTAAATAAATAAATAAATAAATATCACATTTACAGTAACACCAGCTGCCCAAAGTACTTCACGGGCACAAAATAAAAAAGAAAGGAAAACAGCATATAATACTGCACAAATACATGTAAAATGTAAAACAGTGAAACTCAGTTGGTATTATAAGCCAAGGCGTAGAAACGTGTCTTTAGACTTGATTTTAAATCTCCAATGAAGGAGCTATTCTAATATACAAAGGTAGACTATTCCACAGTTTGGGAGCAGCAACAGCAAAAACCTGGGCACATTCAACAAAAGCTGGTTTTCTGACCTCATTGCTCTGACAGGAGCATACAGAGATAACTGTTCTGTCAGATATACAGGGGCTAAACCATTTAAAAATTATAAAACAAGCATCAGAATCTGAAAAATCAACTGTGAATGTGACAGGAGGCCAGTGTAGTGAGGCCAACACAGGGGTGATGTGCTCTTTCTTGCGTGTCCGGACCATAGTACAGGGAGTTACAATCATCTAATCTTAATTTCTACAAGTTGTAGAAATTAAAAAGGTAAATATCTCGCTCAAAGTGAGTTGGTGAATTATAGGCCTTCACTTTGCTTAAGACACAGAGCTGGGAGAAGCGTACTTTAATAACTGAATTCATTTTCTTGTTTATCCTGAAAGTTCTAAATTTCTGGCAGAGGGGTGGACATAAAAAGAGAGCGCACTAAGAGCATCGCTCAGATCAACAGGGGAGCAGGAGCTAAAAACAACAATTTCAGTGTTATTCTCGTTGAGAATTAAAAGCATTTGGGCCAGCTAAGTTTGAACTTCCAGGAGACAGTTTAGCAGCGTTGTAAATGACACTGAGGTGGGTTTTAAAGGCAGGTAGATTTGTAGGTCATCAGCTTAAGTGTGAAAAGAAACATTGTGTTTCTTTTCTCTGTGGCCAAGTGGCAGCATGTACAAAGAAAAGAGGGCAGAGCCTAAAATGGAGCCCTGTGGAACACCACAATTGGGGGGTGCCAGACCAGACTTGTAAGGCCAGAGTGGACAGAAAAACACCTGTGACTACGGTAAGACCTGAAACAGTTTAAAGCTGTGCCTTTAAAACCAGCATATCGCTCCAAACGTGAAATTGAAATCAACAGTATCAAAAGCAGCTGTCAAATCTAAAAGAACTAAAAGGACATGGCAGGGGATCCTGAGTCAGCTGTTAAAAGCAGATCATTAAATCTCTGAGCAGTGCTGAATCTGTCCTATGTAGAGCTTTAAAACCTGATTGAAGTGTGTCAACAATGCCATTTGTGTCAAGATACAAATGAAGTTGGTTAAGGACAATTTTCTTTGGCCAAAAAAGGCAGCTTCGAAATGGTCTTATAATTAGCAAGAAGAATGTTGTCCAAGGTGGGCTTCTGAAGAAGTGGCTGAACTACAGCTTGTTTAAAGTTTGCCGGAACAAAGCCAGATAAAAGTGAGGCCTTAATAACATGCGTGATGTAATGTCAAAAAAAAATGTGTTCAAATAATACTGCTAAAAGAGTTTTTACAAATGTGTCCTCAATGGATCTTATACCATTTCTGGGTCGTTATACTTACTCTCTAGCTTAAATCTAAAATAATGTTTGGATTAAATCTTGAATGGACCTTTAAAACAGGCTATAGGAATGCTCCCTTACAAAACTGAAATTTTGTTGGATCGGGTGATGATATCAGTTCAGTCATTATCATCAACACCTATTTTTATAGAACATTAATAGTTCTGTAGTTACCCACAACTAGTACCGGTAGTTGCATAGTTACTCACAGCTAGTTTAAAACTCGACTGGAAGATTTTTCCCAGACGGTTTTTAATCCATTCACAGAAACATTTCCAGTTCTAACATAACCCCCTAAAACGTCATATTTCATCCTAATTCAAATGCCACGCTCCTCCCTGTGTGACAAAAACGCGACGGACACATCTGACTCACAGAATTAGTATGCATAGTTGTATGCAGCTTTTATGGTCATATTTTTCTCTTTATGTTCTCTGGGCCTCCGTGGCAGACAGCCCACCCTCCATCTCTGCGGCTATATCTCTCAATGCCTCGCTGGTATTCACGCTGGTACCCTCTCCCCATCACAGAGACAAGCTTTCAGACCATATAAAACTTTTCACAGGCGTATAGCTGCTGTTTTGGTGTGTTATGCAGGGGACAATAGCTTTAACCTTCTGATGACTATAATAATCTCACAGGGATGGAAAAAATAGACCGGGCCATTTGCGCTGGCATTCTTCTATCATGCTGACTAATTTGTTTTCTGTAATGTATTCCAAATCTCCATTATACAGCCGGCTCTGGCAGGTTCAGATACTGTAAAAAAGGTCAATGTCTTTCCTCTCTGTCATAATGAGAGCAGCGACAATTATTGAAGAACATTTTTCATTAACTTACCTAAAAGCAGAACTAATTAGCACTGCAGAAGTCCTTTTTTTAAATGAGTGGGAAGGAAAACTGTAGATTTGGAGGGACGGAGGAGATAGGAGAGATGAAACCGTTCTGTGCTGAATGAAAAGGGCAAACCAAAAGGATTTGAATATCATTTCCACATCAGCCTCTCAATTCTCTCCACTCATTTTCCACAGCCGATTGAGACTTTAGAGCCAGACTGGATTTCACCTGTTCAGGAAACTCTGCGATCTGCAAGGGAAAGTGGGGGAGGAAGGAAAAACATGCTGGTTTTTTGTGATCGTCAGCTACCATCTCATCTATCATTCATAACAAGAAATGAGCAGACAGGTTTTGTTTGATTTAACTTTGAGGATCTGCGTTTTTGCAGTGATTGGTAATGAGTTTGCTCCAAAGATTTTATGTTGAGAAGTTTGCCTGTTCTTAACTAAGGGACATTTTATAGCCAACGACCTCATAGGCACTTTACTTCTGGATTCCCCTTTTTAAACAACTGTATTTACTTATCAAGCCTACAGTGCTTTCAGATTTCTTTTATTGTATCTTATTTTATCAAATTGACTTGTGGCTATATAATCTATATAATATTAGATTTCTCAGATAAGATATTTATGCAATGTAGTATTAAAACTAATACACAATTATAACAAGAATAGACATTTTCATAAAACAAAAAAAAAAGTGTCCTCCACATTGTATTCCTCCAAAGTGGCATTCAGCAGTGCAAACACTTCTTGAGCCGTGGCATCACAAGGGAAGCTTTAGTCCCTGTGCGCCGGGTTCATGTCTTTGCTCCTATTCCTCTGGTCTCTTGTCTGTCTGCACCGCTCTGACAGATTCTCTCTCTCCTTTCCCCCGAGGCTTCTACTGTCCACCGAGACCCACACAAAACCACATCTGTACACACTGAAACAAACAGCGCTGTGTGAAAAGATGACTTTCTGCTTTCATTGTGTCAGTGCAGTTGTCTGGTGACATCTTGCCACATGTCTTTGAAGGCTCCTTGTTTGGCAACCTCAAAATCTTGGCAAAGCGAGTTTTTTCTTTTCTTTTCATTTGTCTCCTTGCCTGTCTATGCTGAAGTTGCAGAGGAAGCACTTTGAGGTTTCCCTGCGATGTGGGAAGGGCAAGGCTGTGACACTATTAGTCACTTCTGACACGACCAGGCCCCCGTCTGTGGAGCAGATGGGAAGAGTGGAGACAGCAGACCTCCGTGGACACACCGGTGCACTGGCCAGTTAGGGACATTACATAAAACTTCACCTAAAGCCAACTTTAGGCTTGTGCACGATTAAGGAATTAGTCATATTGTCAACATCTCAAAAGTATGCAAAAAGTAATATTATGCACATGAGCAATGTTATAAATCATTCATTCATTTACATCCCCTTTATTGGTCCATTTCTGGCTCAATGGCCCTATTTGTTATAAATTATTTTAACCATGCAAATTTAACCATGAATATGAATACATAGTATCTTTTTTGGCTTGAGTCTGCCTTGCTCAATCAAAATGTAACCAAATTAATTTTGTTCCAAAACATCAACCAGAAAAGAGTATGAGTATGCAAAATAAAAGTAATACATTGGTCAAAATGGTTTCATATATAGTGTATAGAATAAATATAAAAAAGTATCCCCAGATAACAGAAATGAGCTATCTCCAATGAAAACAATGGAGACCTTTTGTAAAAAAGTTTAAATTAATGAAAGATATTTGACCCGAAAGAAGTTGCGAGTTTGACAAAAGGGATGGAGCTATGCAAGAAGTTCCTGATTGTAGTGTGGTTAAAGCTGGTGAGGAACAATGTTGAAACATGGTTAAAAACTTAAAAAAATAAAAAACCTAATTTGTCACCTTTGAAGACACACACTCATCACATTTCTGTTGAATTCACACGATGTCACCTGAAGACTGTTTGTCATATTTGCTAACCTCGATCAAAGAATGTTGTGTTGCCTCTTTGTACAAGCATCAAGCTGCGGCTTTGTCCTTATTGAATACTTTTCTATTTCTTCCCAATTTTATGAAAATTACATTCAAATTTAGTTTTGACTGAGAGGTGCACTGCCAGCTGAACTCTTTCTAGTGGTGGCACCAAGGATAGAGACGCCTGTCAGCTTGGCTCTGTCCAAGGTGCTGAAATGAGAATAAGAACAAAATAGAATGTGAAAAGAAGAATAGGCAGAGCTTTCCGGGTTCTCACTTGTCAAAATGGTCATGTGCTCTTTGGAGGTGGATGATTCTTTCATCCAAATAATGCTGGGAAAAGAAATCCAAGGCACTCCTTAAAAGCCTTTATTAACACATGACTTAGAACAAATATTATGCAAATCCAACATAATGATTGTTTTATTAAAAAGTTATTTAGTTCATTAAAAACTTCTTGTCACCCCCAGTCCTTCTCTTGCCCCCAGTCCTCTACAGCTGTATTTTACAGCTGCGCACAGACCTACAACACACAGGATTGATATATCCATGATCGCACTTCAGCAGCTGGTTAGAAACTTTGCTATAAACAAGGGACCACTGTATAAAACAGTTCAGACCCAGATCTGTTATCTTTTATAATCATCTAAGATTATTTTACTCATATTTTACTGATCATATAAAATATTTTACTGATTATATAAGATATTTTACCAAATGGTGAGTTTTCTTTAGAGACTAAAAAACGATATGGTTGAATGTTCAGGTACTGTGTGTGGGAGCGGAGTCACCAAACTTGTGTTTTCTTGTTGGACCGTAGGAGGAGGAAGTGGAGTGGGCACTGCAGCCTCGCTCTCTCCCTCGCTCCCTCTCTCCTTATCTCAGTGTTTGTACACTGTGTGCCAAGATCCAATCAATAGCCACTCGAGCCATGGAGAGAAGGTCAGGAGCCACACTGACCGACCGGCTATAGGCAAACTAATGGAGACCCGCGTGAGGCGGTCAGCATGGAGGTGTGCGCACAGAGCCCTTTAAACATGGGCTTTTTGTGATAACGTTTGGTATTTCACTTGTGAACTTTTTCTGCTTTGTACAGCCAAATTTTCCAAATTATAGGAGTTCATGAGGTGCAGTATGTTTGTAAACAACTGTTGGAACAAATACCAGTCTGTACCTGTATTGGCCAAATCCACAAAATGCAAGAAATATTTTGAAATTGGATTTATATCAAAGCTTAGGAGGTTCTTTTAATAAGATAAAAAAAGGTAAAGAGGCTAGAACTTAATAATTACCTAACATGTTTTGGCGGTATATGTCCAAAACATACTCTTACATTTTTTTGACTTTTTAAAATAACCTCCTAAGCCTTAAACATAAGACATCAAAATTAACTTTTTACATTTAATACGCTGTGGATTTATATTAGTTGTATGTCCATCAGAAGGACTGAGGGGCGTGCCAGACTTTACAGTATTCAGATGGACAATGCTAACAAGTGGCCCTTTTAATTCAATAAACTAGTGAATGGCTGTCTAGTCTTCTTGACACTGATGCTATATTGTGAATTACAAATTAGATTGGCTAGGAGGACTCTTCACATGGAATCTCCGTGAAATGCATGAACAAGCTTTCTGCAATTCAGAAGAAGGTAAACACTGGCAAGGGACATGATCAAATGGATGGATTTCAATTATAGCTGCTCTTTTTATTGCTGATAGATTCTGCATATAAAACATAATTCATAGATGAAAAATAATTTTAAACAAGACATGCAGTGAATAATTGCTATTAAATAATTGGTCTGATGGGCTGGGATTTAATCTCACAATTTTAATCTCACAATTTTCCTTCAGGCTAAACCTTTACTGTGTTAATAGCCAATGAGTTCCTATGTGTCTTATCATTGCAAATCCATGATCACTATTGAGATTATACAGTAAATGTTAGTTTGCTGTTTCTGCGTTGGTCTTTCTCAAGCCTGTAGTAATGACAGACAGGCGAGAGCTGGCAACACTTGAGTGAGGAAACTGCTTTTCCCTCAGCAGAGGTAAACAGCTCCTGATAAGACTACATTTTGTCTTTAAAGTGGCAGACTGTTCATGAATGCATTAGCCCTAGCCTGAACATTAAACAGTCAAAAACACCATTTAAATAAGGAAATGTAAAAGAAAAATGCAAACCGCTACATCAGTGACTGGAAAATTCAATTTTCTCTGGCTCTCCTTCCGTAACTCACTTCTAATAAAGTTTCTTGTTGTTTTCACTGCTTTAGTTCTGTCCTGCCTGCAACACCTTCGCATGGGTCTGGAGGCTGTGGCCAATAGACTACTCACACATCTTTAGATGTTCTCAGATAAAATATATTAAAATAACTTCTTGGTTGAGTTATGTTGGCATTTGCTATCATCTCAACAGTTTAGGCCATCAAGGCAAAGCAATTTTATTAAATTAAATTTAATTCAATTAAATTGATTCTTGTATAGCCCTAAATCACAACAGTAGTCATTTCAGAGGGCTTAACAAAACCGTTAAAATCGTCAACACAGATCAGAAAATTAACAGATAAGACACTAAAAAATATAGAACACATATGTATTGGTCCAAAGGGAGAGACCAATGCCCATGATTGTTGATGAATGTCCATAAAATGTAGATGGCACAACGGGTGAAAAGCAAGGAACAGAAAACAGTCAAAATCCTAATAATGCAGACAGATAAAGTAGGAAGGAGGAGAGGATAGTGCTAAAGTACCATACCTCTCCCAGCAAACTGACTCCATACGCAGCTTGACTGACAATCTAAGAGTCTGGGTCTCACCAACCTGACCATATGCTCAATTGAAGAGGGCTGTTTTAAGCCTGGCCTTGAATGAGAGGCCAGAGAGACAGCAGCAGCCATTGGCTTGGCTAGCCCAGGCTACTGTACCAAAGAAAGTGTTTAATCCACGATATATAGTAAAGTGGTACACTTAGGTGTAACAAAGGTTGAAAGACTGAAGCATAGCAGAGTTAATACTTAAGGCAACTCAAATTGCTTAACAAAACAAGATAGAAGTAACACAAGGCATTATCATAAATAAAAAAGAATGAAGATAATCTGTTTTCATGAAGAAAAGCCAATGGAGCCCCCGTTTTAGCTGTTTATTTTACATAACATTTGTCAACTGTTCAAACCAGTGCCTTTTTGACCCCATACCACTTTAACATTGTATGTCTTTGTAATTAATACACTAATAATTGTTTGTTTCTAGTTTGCTAATTCATAGTTTTTAGTTGGTCTCAGAATGTTTTGCCTGCTTTCCATTGTCCACAACTTACAGCTATCTAAATTAAAAGTGTATATTTTGCTTAATATGTTAATCATCACCTTCATTACTGAGACGACATAACTCCGGGAGACGTTCTCAAAGAAGGAAAGGTCACTATTGTACCTTTGCGGGTTTCTTGGCAACACTTGCAGTTCTTACGTGTCTATCTATTTTCCTCATTAGTATGTGGCCCTTTATATACTTTGTATCATCTTTAATGCAGGAATCTTTGGCCTATAGAGTTGAAGAAGGCCTGGTCATGCGGGAGAGGCAGATAAGCAGGTTTATGATCTATGCCTGCACGTTACAGTGGTGGAAAAGCTCTTATCTCCAACCGATAGTCCCCCAAGGAAACTGAATGCTTTATTACAAGTGCACCTATGCGTTTATCCTATCTTTCTGCCTATCAACCATGGGGTAATGAGGGCGAGGTGGGCAGAATGGATTGGGTATGGTTTGTTAATGGGAAAGAGAAAGGTTGTCTGCCAGCCTGTGGTTTTTAACTTAACTCTATTCAACATGGCTCAGGTCAACCGTCTGTGCCCAAGTATGCAGATAAATAGATTAAAAAGTCACAGGTGAAGCTTTCCAAAATGGATTGTTCACAAGGCGTCGACCCCTATTATAATGTTGGCACAATACCGGCACACATTTTGGGTTAGTCAGACAGAGATAATATTTATTTAGAAAATTGGAACTTATTCACACTTAATGGGTTCGTCTCACTGTCTCTATTCTCCTTCAGTCTCATCCTCATCTGTGGCTTTGCATGAATAGATAAAAGTTCTGTACTGTTCATTTCACCAGCTGCTGGGTCGTTAAAAAGCTTTAGAAAAATTAAAAGGAAGAAAAATTATGATTTAACCGAGCCTTTACAAGTGAAATCTCTCTCACCACAGTCTTCACATCTGCTGGGAATTATGGCGTTCAAAGCTTTAGTTTGTTAGCTTTTTCACAGGTTTTTGTTGACCTGTTTTTATGATATGTTCATTAATAATAGTATTGT